GGGGGGGGGGGGCCCCCCCCCCCCCCCCCCCCCAATTGTCCCTTAGGTGTATGTCCCATTATTCATCCTCGACAGGGAGGAAAGGAACCCTTTTTTTCTATAATAATTTATTTTTATATATTAATTTACTGTGAAATTGACCCCCATGTATTTAATACATTACTTCTAGAAGCATGGTTTTATAATTGTGGTTTCATTAGAAATAAACCCCACCAAAAAAAAAAAATAAATTGGGAACGATAGACAATTGTCTAAGTTGCAAGTCGACTCTTCCCTATCAGTTTCACATGTCGCTTGTGTCCACGGATAGAGACTATTTTAAGTTGCTTTGCCAATAATATGGCTAGCTAGATAATTTACTACACATAATAACTTTTTCTTTAATTTTCGTAGTGAACAGGATACGATAATTAACCAATTTATTGAATTTCGCATTTTTATTTAATTCATACAATTCATATTCCATTTAGCGTACCGAACATGAGCTACTAGTAATAATATTTTATCTCAAGAAAGTGATGACCAAGACCTGCTCAATCAACCTCTAAACTCATATACATTGATTCAAATGTTTTCCTTATGAGGTAGAAAACGAAATTTGACAGCTTGAAAAGTTCGATGATTTCATCCACAATCACACGACATATTCAATTTGTACGATTCATTGAGCGAACAAACATGTACACGTGCATTCTTTGAAAGAGATCATAGAAAGTTTTGACGGTGGGTTCTGATATTTAGTTGGTACTCTTAGAAATAGATCATAGTTAGCCTTGATTGTTCGGATTTTGAGTCGCGGTGTATGTTTGAAAGTAGGTGCTGCAATTGATTCCAGCCAAAATAAGTTAAACTCTCAACCAATATCTATCTGTTTTTCACTCGAGAGGGGGAGTAATATGAAGAATACCCTATTGTCAACTGGCATTCTTAATTCTATATACTCTACATGGGCCATGCAATAATTGCTCATGGGGACCTTTATCTACATACATATATACATACACCATATATATATATCTATATATACACACCTACCTCTCATTTCTCTTGTCCAAACTCCCCCCCACCCCCACCCCCACCCCCCTCTCCCTCTCTCTCTGTCTGGTTCAAAAAAAGAATGGAAGTTGAGCCAATTAGTCCACCATTGATAGCCAAGAAATTATGGAACATAGTGAGAATAATGTTCCACATGATGAGGAAAGGCATATCAAAGAGTAAGCTAATCCTTGATCTTCATATGCTCTTAAAGCGTGGAAAAATAGCCATTGGCAACCTCTTGCTCCACCACCACCACCTCGACTACTACGCCGCCCTTACCTGCCGCTCCAACAACGTCAACATGTCGTTCGTGACGCCTAGAGAGTACGAATTCAGCTGCAGCAACACCCCGGTTTACCACTCCAAGAGCAAAAACCGCCGCTGGCGCCACCACAACCGTGTAGAAGAAACAAATGTGGTTCAGAGAGTGTTCGATATGTTGAATCATTACGATGCGGCGGAATTATCTCCATTGACGCTCCCGGGATTTGGGGTTAGCCCGATGGTGAGACAATTGAGGGTGACAGACTCACCATTTCCGTTAAAGGATACAGAGGATAATAATCACCAAGTCGATAAGGATGCTGAAGAGTTCATTAAGAAATTCTACAAGGATTTGAAGAAGGAAAAGAGAATTGCTTCCCTTGAATCTCCTTCTGCGTATCACATATGGGCATGAAATCATGAAATTAAAAAAATAAAATTGATGTATTATTAATTTTCGACTGTGATTTGTAACAATGTGCCAACTTCGACATAGTGAAAAAGTTACATGACATGGCCACTTGGACCTTACGACATTATTCCTATCAAATTTCACGTTAGTTATTTACGAGGTCAAAGGTGCCTTGTTGGCTTCCAAATCAAATTCCAACAATAGATCTAAGTGCTTGTTGGATATAGTGTAAAAAGTCGTTAAAGGGTTGATATAAAGTCAACAATTAATTTTAACTACACGTTTCATAAAATTCACAACTTTTCAAATGAATTTCATCAATTTTTATGTAACCCCAAACAATGCGTTTCGAGTACTTTTAATTTTACTTCGTTTCTTTAGGCTTTTTTTATTTATTTATATTCAATGTTGCTTCGAAATTCCTTAAACTCAATTTTTTTGCATAGTACAATATATAATCTCCAACCGGCCAACATAATAATCTTTCTTTCATACCTACTAATTGATGTACATGAGAAGCATTTCCTCTAGCTCCCGAAAAAGACATTATATGAACTGGATTAAAGGGGTCAGTCATCCTAAAATTAGGATNCCTTCTTTTAGTGTTTTTATCATAACTTTGTATTCCGATATTCGATTGAGGCGATTCAAAATGCGTTGGAAAGCTAACCTATCTGGCTACAACTTTGATTCAGACATCATTCTCCAATTCGATCACTTTCTATTCTAAAAATATGTTTCAATATAACGGACTATGTAACAGAATATTTTGTTTTAAACAGGCAGCTGCACCTTCTTTCAGTGTTTTTATCATAACTTTGTATTCTGATATCCGATTGAGGCGATTCAAAATGAGTTAGAAAGCTAACTCATCTCGCTACAATTTTGATTCAGACATCATTCTCCAACTCGATCACGTTTTATGCCAAAAATATGTCTCAATATAATGGACTATGTAATAGAATTTCTTGTTTTAAACAGGCAGATGTACCTTCCTTCAGTATTT